TGGGAGAACAGTGCTACAGTGCGTTTCAGTCATACAATGTTTGAGTACCCTCCACCAGTGCCCATTCTCTATCACCAATGTAAAAAAACAATAAATTAAACGTAAAAAAAGAATGATCATCACATATTGAAGTTAAATCAGCATTTGTGGGTTTCTTTAAAAACAGATTTGAAATGAGGCTATATGATAAATAAAATACTTATGAGTTATTAGAAAAACTAATGAGAGCACCTGAACCTACAAATGACAGACGTGTCCCTCCCACCACCCCCACCCTATGTCTCTGTGGCAGGTACATTCTCTCTCTCTCTCTCTCTCTCTCTCTCTCTCTCTCTCTCTCTGTCTCTCTCCTCTATCCTCTCTCGGGTGTTATGGTTTGCAATACAGGTACGAAGCAGCCATCATATTTGGTCCATAGTCTACTTTCCACACACATCTCCCATCACGAGCGAGCCCTCAAAGCATCATTTACTTACCGATCCCTTCTCTATCCCAGCTGCCTTTTCCCCCAGCACATAAGATCAGCTTCCAAGCTGTGGAGCGATCCTCTTGGCCCTTATCTCTACTATCCTTAGGTGTTAGTCTCCTATTATGCAGCAAATATATTGAAATTAAAACTTTCTGTCTCTTATCTTTTATTTATTTTAGTATTTGAACTGGGCTGAGAAGGGCTTAGGGGATAGTCCTTGTTCCATGCTCAGAAGTTCCATCCTGGAGTGTTACATAATTGAGGGAAATTGGTTAAACAAACATATGCTCTAAGACAATACAAACCTGTGCGCAAGTGAAACCTTTACACTCTAGAGATAACAAACTAATTAGCAGGAGTGGACATGAGGCATTTGAAATGACATTTAGCACATCTTTCTATTGAAAGGGGGAAAAAGTTTGAAATAAAATTTTATTTTATTAGAAATAGAAATAAGGATACACATTTACCAAATTTGTAGTACTTTTACTACAGTTCTACAAATTCTACAAATTTGTAGAATTGTGAAAAAGAAGGGCTGGAGTAAAAGCACAGTGAGGCTTTGAAGCGTTCAGCATAAGAAAAGGAACACGTGGAGGGTGCGGGGTCCTGGAGGAAAAAAAAAAAAGAAAAAACAGGTTCCAAAAAGAGCCGAGATCACCCGCAAGTTCCAGATGGAGTAGGTGCCGCATCCCGCCTCCCCCAGATGGAACCCCGGTGACCAGAAGCCTCTACAAACACAGCTCGAGTATGCGGGAACTAGGACTTTTCCTCAAAACCGCGCGGCCGCATACCCGCGTGACATCTCTCTTTATACAAAGTGATCAATGAGAAGTAAACCACCCAATCTTTCTCCCTGAAAATCAGAGTTAAGTTTGGAGCACGGCCACAGCCCCAGAAACACAAGGACTTAATGCAGAACCCAGCAGCTTAGAGCAGAAAAGTGAACGGACGATGAGTTAACCCAGGCCATCATTTCTGCCCAGAGGGGAAAGGATGTTGCCCCATTCGCCCTCTCTTCTCTGGAAAGAAGGATGGTGGCCGCATGGGAGCCTTGTGGACAGCAGGTATGAGCCGGGGGTGTGGGGGCTACTAAAACCTCATGGGAAGGGGGGCGTTCCAGTCCGTCCTTCACGCCCTACCGAGGTCACCAGTTGCCCCCCACGAGCGGCTCTCCAGCACGGCCACAGCCCCAGAAGCACAAGGGCTTAATGCAGAACCCAGCAGCTTGGAGCAGAAAAGTGAAAGGACTATGCATTAATCCAGGCAATCATTTCTGCCCAGAGGGGAAAGGGTGTTGCTCCCTTCCGCCCTCCTCCCTCTGGAAAGAAAGATGGCGGCCACATGGGAGCCTTGTGGACAGCAGGTATGAGCCAGGGGTGTGGGGGCGACTAAAACCTCATGGGAAGGGGGGCGTTCCAGTCCGTCCTTCACGCCCTACCGAGGTCACCAGTCACCCCCCATGAGCGGCTCTCCAGCACAGCCACGGCCCCAGAAGCACAAGGACTTAATGCAGAACCCAGCAGCTTAGAGCAGAAAAGTGAACGGACGATGAGTTAACCCAGGCCATCATTTCTGCCCAGAGGGGAAAGGGTGTTGCCCCATTCGCCCTCTCTTCTCTGGAAAGAAGGATGGCGGCCGCATGGGAGCCTTGTGGACAGCAGGTATGAGCCGGGGGTGTGGGGGGCGACTAAAACCTCACGAGAAGGGGGGCGTTCCGGTCCGTCCTTCACGCCCTACCGAGGTCAACAGTTGGCCCCCACGAGCGGCTCCCCAGCACGGCCACAGTCCCAGAAGCACAAGGACTTAATGCAGAACCCGGCAGCTTGGAGCAGAAAAGTGAAAGGACTATGCGTTAATCCAGGCCATCAAGTCTGCCGGAGGGGAAAGGGTGTTGCCCCATTCGCCCTCTCTTCTCTGGAAAGAAGGATGGCGGCCGCATGGGAGCCTTGTGGACAGCAGGTATGAGCCGGGGGTGTGGGGGCGACTAAAACCTCATGGGAAGGGGGGCGTTCCGGTCCGTCCTTCACGCCCTACCGAGGTCACCAGTTGCCCCCCACGAGCGGCTCTCCAGCACGGCCACAGCCCCAGAAGCACAAGGGCTTAATGCAGAACCCAGCAGCTTGGAGCAGAAAAGTGAAAGGACTATGCATTAATCCAGGCAATCATTTCTGCCCAGAGGGGAAAGGGTGTTGCTCCCTTCCGCCCTCCTCCCTCTGGAAAGAAAGATGGCGGCCACATGGGAGCCTTGTGGACAGCAGGTATGAGCCGGGGGTGTGGGGGCGACTAAAACCTCACGGGAAGGGGGGCGTTCCAGTCCATCCTTCACGCCCTACCGAGGTCTTCAGTCACCCCCCATGAGCGGCTCTCCAGCACAGCCACGGCCCCAGAAGCACAAGGACTTAATGCAGAACCCAGCAGCTTGGAGCAGAAAAGTGAACGGACTATGCGTTGATCCAGGCCATCAAGTCTGCCGGAGGGGAAAGGGTGTTGCCCCATTCGCCCTCTCCTCTCTGGAAAGAAAGATGGCGGCCACATGGGAGCCTTGTGGACAGCAGGTGTGAGCCGGGAGTGTGGGGGCGACTAAAACCTCATGGGAAGGGGGGCGTTCCAGTCTGTCCTTCACGCCCTACCGAGGTCACCAGTCGCCCTCCACGAGCGGCTCTCCAGCACGGCCATGGCCCCAGAAGCACAAGGACTTAATGCAGAACCCAGCAGCTTGGAGCAGAAAAGTGAACGGACTATGCGTTGATCCAGGCCATCAAGTCTGCCGGCGGGGAAAGGGTGTTGCCCCATTCGCCCTCTCCTCTCTGGAAAGAAAGATGGCGGCCACATGGGAGCCTTGTGGAGAGCCAGGTATGAGCCGGGAGTGTGGGGGCGACTAAAACCTCATGGGAAGGGGGGCGTTTCGCTCCGCCCTTCACGCCCTACCGAGGCCACCGGTTGCCCCCCGCGAGCGGCTCTCCAGCACGGCCACGACTCCAGAACACAGAAACCAATTTCTTAACTATCTGACTTTCAGTAGAAATACTTCCAGGGTCAATAGGTAAAATAGCAGAAATCCAAAACCAACATTTAATTCTTGAACCCAGCTGTAGAAAGCAAATCACTTCACAATGCTTTTTCAGCATGTCTGATTTGGGGGGGGGGGGGGAAATCTAAATAATAGTGGTGAATCTTTTATTGAAACAATGAATCTAATCAAAGCAGATAGAGTGTTAACTAGAATTCATCTGCCTCACAGGGACGGGGAGGGGTAGGGGGTGGGGTTTTATTGGGGTTCTTCAGGGTAAAAAAAATGTATTGGTAAAGGGAAATGTGTTTGATATTTGCATGACTGAGACCTAAACCTGAAAGCTTTGTAACCTTTCCCACAGTGATTCAATAAAAAAAAAAAAAAAAAAAAAAAAAAAAGCACAGTGAGTGGGGCATTTGCCTTGCACGCGGCCAACCCGGGTTTGATTCCCAGCATCCCATGTGGTCCCCCGAGTACCGCCAGGAGTGATTCCTGAGTGCAGACCTAGGAGTAACCCCTTTGCATTGCCAGGTGTGACCCCCCCCAAAGAAAAGAATTATGAGAAAGAGATCATTTTCCCCCATGTTCACTGAAAGTGAACACTTATGCAGTCACCCCGAAATCTAAAAAACCACCAGCTTTCCACACTGGGTGGGTGGGGGAAGGGTGAGCGTCAGAGAAGCCAAGGAAGGAAGAAGGAAGGGATCATCCCCAAACCTTTCTTGTGCCTACATTCTGAGGGGTGCAATCTTGAGTGGGGGGTGTGTAAAAGTGTGTTATCTGGTTCCTAATTATGTCTGTAATTTTAACAATATACTCATCAAAAATTCAGAACTTGTTTTGTTTTATCTTTTATTTATTTATTTTCGGTCAGCCCAGGATCTATTCCTTCGCCCCTCTTGGAGAGCCCAGCAAGCTACCCAGAGTATCTCACCCATACAGCAAAGCCTGGCAAGCTCCCTGTGACCTATTCAATATGCCAAACACAGTAACATCAAGTCTCGAAATGGAGACGTTACTGGGGCCACTCGAGTAAATCGATGAACAGTGGGAGGACACTGCAATGCAGTGCTCCTTTATTTTAGTATTTGGGCCTCACCTAGCTGGGCTTAGGGGATAATGCTTGCTTCATGCTCAGAAAAAACCACGAAAGGGTTACAAAATTGAGGAAAATTGGTTGAACATACATAATCACTGAGAATAAACAGTGTCCAGGAACAAGCAGAACATTCCAGCACTAGAGAAAAGCAAGTAGTGAGCGTGCACATGGATATTTTGCAATGTATTAGAAAATAACTTTATGATGAAAGAAAATATGAAACTACAAATGTCTGTTCTTCAAGTTTTTCTTATTAAAAAAAGATACAAAATAATTGGTTTTGCATTATAAAGAGTTACAAAATGGGAACATTTCTTCCCCCATCTTCCTTAAGTATCAACACCTGATGCAAAAAATTCTAAATTTAGAAAACCACCAGCTGTTAACATGAGGCAGGGGGGATGCCCAGGGTGTGCTCACCCCTCCTCTGCCCTCCCCGAGTCCACAGACAGAGGGGCACAGTCCGGCCCCACGCGGAAGTACGGCTTGAGCTCTTCAGCAAAGGGCTCGGTGAACGAGTGCAGGTGAGACCTGTCGGCAGCGTTGTAGAAGGAAAGCTGGCCCAGCTCCCAATCCAGGTAAACGCCAATGGCCACGGGTTGGTCCCTGAGAGCCAGAGGCACGGCCGCTGTGCCCACGGACAGGTAGTCGCCGTCCAGCAGCTGCAGCGTCCAGCATCTCTTGGGAGCCTCCAGGGAACGCGAGGCCTGGGCCGAAGGGGCGACGCTGCACACGCCCACGGCCCACTCGGGCTTGGCGCCCACCTGCACCTCCCAGTAGTGGCGGCCAGAGGCGAAGCCCTCCCGGCCCAGCAACACCAGCTGGGTGGTGTCATCACAGGATTCGGGGTCCCCATCCCCTTTGGACCTCTTCCTCACGCAGGTGACCGACTGGAGGTCCTGGGACATGCGCAGGCTGGGGTGGGCCGTGTTGGGGTCCAGGCTGATGCGCTCTCGGAATCTCCGGATGATGCTGTTGAGCGCCGAGCACAGAGGAGGGAGGCTGAAGCGCAGGGGCTGCACGGTCGGGGGCTGCAGGCCTGCCAAGCGCTGCTGCAGGCCCCTCACGCCCCTCAGCACCATCTCTTCGGACATCATGCTCCGCTCGGCCACATCCCGTCTGAGGTCTTTCAGTGTCCAGGTTGGCCCTGAGCTGCTGCTGCAGGCGTTTGTCCTCTTCTGCCAGCCTGCAGAGCACGGCCTCGTGCTCACGCTCCACAAACTGGGTGAGCTGCTCATATTCCGAGGCCAGCCGACTTCTGTGCTTTTCCACGTCCGCTCTCAGCTGCAGGAGGTTTCTGTCTTGGGCGACATCTCGCTTCTGCACCTCTGCCAGCTGCTTCTTCAGGGACTCGATGCAGCCGCTGAGCCTCTGTCTGTGATGAGCCGCTGCCTCAGCCAAGGACCTGATGTGGTGGCCCTGGTGGGCAGGGCCCTGGGCACACAGAGAACACACCAGTTTCTGGTCATCCTCGCAGAAGAGGCTCACTCCCTGTCTGTGCTCCTCACACCTGCCCTTCTCTGCCCGTGCCATCTCGCTGCTCCCAGAGCTCTGGAGGAGCATGGCCAGATCCACCAGCCTGCCCAGCTGGGCGTTGGCACTAACGCGAATCTCCTGGCGGGACTGCCGGCACACGGGACAAGGGATTGTGTCCTGCAGGTCCTTCCATGACATGCGGATGCAGGAGTCACAGAAGCTGTGGCCACAGTCGATGGTGACGGGGTCATTGATGTAGTCCAGGCAGATGTGACAGATGAGGTCTGGCTGCATTTGGGCCAGGGCTGCCGACACCTCCTCCATCCTTGGGTGCGGGAAGGGCAGGTCGGGGGTGATTTTCCTCAGAAAGTTGAAACCCTCAGACTCTCTCCTGCCAGGAAAACAGTTACACACTCAGTCATTTGTCCTGAGCTCATCTAAGAATGGGTCTCTCTGATGACCAGCACACTTCTAGACTCAAGGGCTTCTCCAAGTGTACTCTCCTAAGACCAATCGAACTGCTCCGAGCCTCATGCATTAGCACAGCGGTAGGGTGTTCGCCTTACAAGCGGCCAACATGGCTGACCCGAGTTCGATTCCTCCGCCCCTCTTGGAGAGCCCTGCAAGCTACCGAGAGTATTCGATATGCCAGACACAGTAACAACAACTCTTCAATGGATACATTACTGGGCCCGCTCGAGCAAATCGATGATCAACAGGAGGGCCTTTACCTTTACCTTACCTTTCAAGTAATATTGCTTCATAGATGCCAACTCTCTGTGAATGGGAAAATGACCCCATTCACATCAGAGAAAAGAGAACTTAATTCTGGGACTCAGTATAAAGAAAATAGATACCAGATAGTCAAATAGGTGCCCCCTAGCACCTGCACAAAGTGCGCAGGAAAGATGCTGTGAAGTTAAGCTCTGGCCCAGCAAGAAGCACATCCCCCCCCCCCCCCCACCCACTGTTTGACCTCTCTGCCCCACCTCTGTCCCACATAAGGCAATACCTGTGATGATCACTACTCACCTTGGTCCTGATTCTGGCCCTGCACAGTGCTCGGTGTTGTTGGTGAGCTGCTCTCCTTGGAGGATGCAGACTTCAGGCTGGCACTGCTTGCCCTGCACTCAGCACAGCATTTATATACATCCTAGGGTAGGGCTCAGGAGAACCACCCTGCAATAGGGTGGGGCTCAACTCACGGGATTCTCAGAGGGCTGAGTTATTTCCCAGACCTGTATTTTGTCACAAGGAATGCCATGTTCAGGGAACTAGCTTTCAGGGGAAGCAAGCCCTTCTTCAATTGTCTTCATTTTCCATATCCCATCCTTGTTGAGGAAAAGTAGAAATGATAAATAAACTAGAAACTGAGCGCTGTTGGCATCAGAGAGATAGTGGAGGCTGTAAGGTGTTTGCCAGGTGTGATCCTTGAGCCCAGAGGCAGGCAAGTACCCCCAAGCACTGTAGGGTGTGTGTTCCCACCATAAAACAAATAAACAAAGAGGCAAATAAACAAATACTGAAGTGCCAGACTGCACAGCAGGCTTGTTTGTTTTGCTTAGTTTGGGGTCACAAAGAGCTGGGATCAGACTTACCTTGGGCTCTATGCTCAGGGGTTACTCCTGGCAGGGTTTGAAGTACCTACCAATTGTTTTCCAGCAGAATAAACTGGATCAGCTGTGGGGAAGACAGGAACCTTAGTCTCTATTATATTGCTGACCTCAGAATTTTTATTTAATTTCATTTTGTCCTGAAGTTCAATGTGTTAAACATCACCTGAGAGACTTTTGTGCTGTTTTTTTTCTGCCACATCTAGCAATGCTCAGGGCTTATTCTTCAGATATCACTCCTCGTGTACTTGGGGAACTCTTTGAGGTCCCAAGATTCAATCTGGGTAGTCACATGCATGACAAGTATTATCAGTCCTTCCTAGTGATTTTTTCATTTTTTCCAGTAAGTCACCAATATTTTACAGTCATAATGCTTTGCATTTCTTCTTGATCAATAATATTTTAACACTCATTTACATAAAAAAGTTTTCCCTCATGAAGATCTTTGTAAACCACAGTGTTTATCTAAAGTATAAGAGGAAATTTGGAAAAACCAAGGAAATAAATTTAAACAAATAGATTCTTGAAAGAGGGAAAAAATGAGTTGTCTCATACATGAGGAACTTTGTTGAATAACTGCTAATAAACAATGCAAATATTTTCAACAATTTCCTTGGTAATCTGCAATTCTAATTAGCATTCACAATTAATAAAAAAAAATCGCGTGCCAGTGTAGCCCAATGGCATCTGCTCGCTCCAGGAATATGAAGAGCCTCAAACTGATCTGACCATCTCATAGGTGAGCGGCCACTCCACCGTCCTGTGGAATCCATTTGGTATTGGCTCTAGTCCAGCGGTCCCATGCATGGTATCATGTCCATTATCCCTGGCCTTTCGAGGGTGATCTCTGGGCTCAGATATCAGGTTCGGCTTTCCAGAGATTTTATTTAGACTTGCAGCATTCCATGGGCACATAGAGCCTTTTGGTTATCACTAAATTGATGATTATTTGGTTTCTCTTCAGCTTCTTCTGACATTTTGACATTTCTATTAAAAGGCAGTTTACACAAAGTATTTAACAATCCCTTTTCAGCAGTTATGATTGTTGGGGGGGTGAATTCTAAATAATAATGGTGCATCTTTTGTCAAAATAATGAATGTAATCAATGTAGAGAAGAGTTAAGTAGAAATCCTCTGCCTCACAGGCATTGGGAGGGGTGGGAGGGGGGTATATTGGGGTTCTTGGTGGTGAAAAATGAAAAATGAGTACTGGTGAAGGGAAAGGTGTCTGATCATTGTATTACCGAGACTTAAACCTGAAAGCTTGGTAACTTTTCCCACAGTAATTCAATAAATAAATATAAGAAGAAAAATAAATAAATAAAGTTATGAGAAAAAAATAAAAATAACTTCTCCCTGTAGGAAATAATATTACAACTAGGGAAATAACAAATTATAAATGTGTAGTCACTAAAAGATAATCATCCAATATTCAAATAAATATACTTTGTGTTTTATATCCAACCTTTAGTTAAGCAGTGTGCATTATTTTTCCAAAATAATTTTACTGTGCATTCAATTCTGTTTGGTTTCCATATCAGGCAAGAAATTAAAAAGAATCATACTTTCCTTAAAAAAAAAGGCAGTTTACATAGAAAATGTTCACAAAACAAAACAAAGTTCTTTTGAAATTCCAAAATAAAAAAATAAATTACAAGTTATTTCCTAACGTTTTATTTTTCAGGCTTCACAAATGTTCTTGTAGCGTCTATATTTTTCCTACTAGTTTCCTTTCTTAGAAATTCTTGAGTTTAGTATGTTACAAGCTCCGTGCTTTTCTCACATTGAAAAGAAAGTTCTTATTTTTTCTTGTTTTTCCTTTTTGTTACAACATGAAGAAAAAAGATATACAAGATGAACATAAATTCGCTCTGAATGGAATGAAGTTATATATACCTGAATGGAATGAGTTATATATACCTAGGTCAAGAAGTCAACATGACGAATGACCTGGCACCTGAGTTGCGCAGGAGGAAGAGAGTGTCTTGGAATGCCTTCAAGAGTGTTGAAGAAATAGCTAAGAGGACAAAGGACCTCTGGCTCTGGGCACATCTTTTAGATCCCATTGTTCTTCCTGCGTTAACATACACCTTAGAGACCTGGGCCCTACAAAAACAGAATGAGAATGTTATTCAGGTCTCCCAAAGAGGAATTTAAAGAGCTATGCTTGGAGTATCACAGTTCACTCAAATGAGAGAAAGAATCCAGCTTTCCAACCTCCATTGATGGTCAAGAATCAGGGATGCTGTCTTGTTTGCCAAGGAGTCAAAAATCAGATGGGCTGGACACATAATGAGATTTGGAGATGACTGTGGGACTAGTGTAATTACTGACTGGATTCCAAGTGACATTAAAAGATAATGTGGAAACCCACCCACGAGATGTTCAGACTAGTCTGTCAAGACCCTGAACAATTGCTTTGAGGCTCTTCGTGTTCCTAGAACAAGCAGACACCATTGGGCTACACTAGCATGCCACAGGGATGAATGGAGATGTTACGGTGCCCACTTGAGAAAAATCAATGAGTAATGGGATGTCAAGTGATAAAGTGATCAAGTGATAGAGTTGGGACAATAGCACAGCACGTAGGGTGTTTGCCTTGCACCTTTTACTTTCAGGAATCACTCGTGGCAGTGTGCAAAGCAAATGCCCTACCAGTTGGAGCAATAGCACAGCGGGTAAGGCATTTGCCTTGCACACAGCTGTCCTGGGTTCGATTCCTCCACCCCTCTCGGAGAGCCCAGCAAGCTACCGAGAGTATCTCACCCGCATGGCAAAGCCTGGCAAGCTCCTCGTGATGTATTCAATATGCCAAAAACAGTAACAACAAGTCTCACAATTTGTTGTGAGATGTTACTGGTGCCCACTCAAGCAAATCGATGAACAACAGGATGACAGTTCTACAGTGATACCTGGTGATTCTCAATATTATTCCAGGCTTTGCATTTAGGAATCACTCGTGACAGTGCTCAGGGACTATTTGGGATGCTATGGATCAAACCTGGGTTGCCTGCATGCAATGTTAGCACCCTCACAGCTGTGGACATGGGCAGGGACATGGCCAAAGCAGGAGCAGTTTCATGCTACTGAGCGCAGGGTTTGCTCTTGGTGGACTGGGTGAAGTTTAGGAATGAGAACATTCAAAGACAATATTAAGACTTTCACATAGGCAAAGAGGTAAATAAATGGTGGCACAATCACAGAGTGGTGAGGAATAATCAACGTCATTTTAAAAAACAGTTAACTTCATTTATTGGGCTGGAGCCATGGAACAGTCGGTAGGGCATTTGCCTTGCATGCGGCCAACCGAGCTGACCCGGGTTAGATGTCTCTTCCCCTCTCGGAGAGCCTGGCAGCTACTGAGAGTATCTTGCCCACACAGCAAAGCCTGGCAAGCTACCCGGGACCGTATTCGATATGTCAAATGCAGTAACAACAAGTCTCACAATGGACATGTTACTGGGCCCGCATAAGCAAATCAATGAACAAGGGGAGGACAGTACTATGGTGCTAATTCATTTATTATTTTTTTTTATTATGACACCACAATCTACCAAGGTGTTTGTAGTAGAAATTGTGGCTATGCCATTCTGACACCAGCCCCACCACAAATTTTATTAGCTGCACCCAGAAGTAAAGTATGCATATTCGAGGAAAAATATTTTCCTGAAAAGGGGAAATTCTGGGACTAGTGACTCTTTCCTTGGGAGA